CAAAAGGTCAAACTAGTCAACAAAGAGGAGGATAACGTGGGAGAACTCTAGAGGAGGATAACGTGGGAGAACTCTAGAGGAGGATAACGTGGGAGAACTCTAGAGGAGGATAACGTGGGAGAACTCTAGAGGAGGATAACGTGGGAGAACTCTAGAGGAGGATAACGTGGGAGAACTCTAGAGGAGGATAACGTGGGAGAACTCTAGAGGAGGATAACGTGGGAGAACTCTAGAGGAGGATAACGTGGGAGAACTCTAGAAGAGTATAACGTGAGAGAACTCTAGAGGAGGATAACGTGGGAGAACTCTAGAGGAGGATAACGTGGGAGAACTCTAGAGGAGGATAACGTGGGAGAACTCTAGAGGAGGATAACGTGGGAGAACTCTTGAAGGACACATAATCTCGACGACTTCCCCTCTCCTGTTTCGTAGCTCAGCGAACTGAAGCCTTTACTTAATAAATCAGAGACTACACCTCTTGCACTCTCATAAAAAAGAGAAGTCAGTTTCTTTCTTTCTAAAGAACTAATGAAATGGCCCACATCATAGGATATCGTTTTTCTAAGTTAGGGATTCCCGTAAATTTAGCCAAAACTAGAGCCAAAAGGTGGATGGCACTTGACCTCTTACCGCTACTTAACAGAAAGGTACTCTCAATACATGTTGACGATAACCAACCTTGAAAGTCTAGAAAACAATTGACAACATCTTCATGCTTTTCTGCCAGAGCGATGTGCAACGGAGTCCTTCCGTGACAATCTATTATAATAGTTTGCAGGTAAGGATCCTGGTACAATTGAAAGTCATCTACCAACTTGTCGATCATTTCTTCTGTTGGAGACTCAGCCACGTCCAAATCAGCGGCTGTTACCTCTGTGCTAGCTTCGCTGGGAGAGAAATCTGGTACGGGGGCAGTTTCTAACAGAAAAAGAAAGTATTATGTCACGACGAAAAATAAGTATGTATGTCACATGACCACAAGAAAAACGTAGTACAAGAGTAAATTTCGTCTTAACTTAAGACGAAATTTAGAGAAGACTTTGTGAGGAAGTTATTTTTCAATGAGATGATGAATTGGACACTTTAAAACATCGAAGTTTCTGTTTTAGCAATTGTGTAACAAAAATGACTACTATTCTTCCCTTCTCATAGGTTCTGTTTAACACCCCTCCTATATATAGTCCCAAAGATAGTACGTTATCGTGCCAACCTATCCTACTGTGATATTATTAGAGTGATTTGGGAACAACTCATTTCTTTTATGAAACCTTAAAGAGAAAGTACGGTCTAGAAAAAGTTTACTTAGATCAAAAGCTCCTTGCTTGAATTTTCCTAACTGGCTATTC